CAAAGGCTACACACAGAGCCAGGCAAAACAGACGTCGCGTTTCTCATTTACCGGAGACCATCAATCACTGGTAGGGAGACAGCAACAGCCAGGCCAGGTTCCCCGAGGCAGCATTTACACCAAGATATGAATTTCCACTTGCAAACGATGCAGTGGCTTGAACGTTTTTACTTTGCTAGGTTGTTATGAAGGAACCTTTCACACAGACCTTCATCTGCGGTACGGACTCTCCTGTCAGCATAGCTTCATCCACGATACACCTGCCACGTAACAGCAGCACGTCACACGGCACGAGGTTCTCRTGAGGAGATCGGCCTGCAATTAATAAATTAGAATTTAGAAGAGGAGAGGTAGGCATGACTGGTGCCTGGCAGGGCAGTTATCCTTCAGTTTAGCTGAGCAGGGAAGATTCCTGAASGACAAGCCCCTCGCGGGCTGCTCAGTCTATCACACCACTCTACTGAGCAAAAAGCATTGCTGAGAACTAGAGGGGCTTGGAGGAAGCRGGAAAGTTCCAAAATCAAGTCATTTAATCCTCATTTCATTCAAAGTTTGGACTGTAGGASCACATGCTGGGACAACGTAACCTAAAAAGTGAAAAGAGAGGTAAGAGAGACCTGCCTTTACCCCTTTCCTTCCTAGAAGATATTGCCAAAGAAAGGGAACTCTTCATCTTCAAAAACATCAGCTGAAATAGGAATCTGAGGCTGATTTATCTAGATAAAACAGCATTTACTTTTCTTCAAGACAGCTAGGGGATCCAAGAGATCCATCTCAAGGATCAGTTCTTAGATCCTCAAACTGTGTCATCTACGAAGCACATGAAGTCTCCAAAATCAGCCAGTTAAGACCACTGGAATTAATATCTAATTCAGTTGTGCAACTAAACACGCTARCAATAACCTGATTTTAAAGAGCATTCGTTTACGAACATCGTACAAGCCCTTACCGATGGAAACGATGTCCCCTGGAATAATCTCATCACTTGAAATGGGGCGCCACTTTCGGTTTCTGTAAACCTGTGGGGAAAAAAAGACACTTTAGAGCAACCTCACACAGGTTGGTGCAGTAGGAAAGGATCAGAGGGAAAAGGATGAGGAAAAAAAGGAGAGCGTGCCATTCCAAAAATATCTGTTATGCTCAAAACCCTACGTTTAGAAAAAGAAAGCACAAACAGATAATGGAAAATGTGTTTAGAGCCGTAAAAAGWTACCAGAAGGAAGAGACCAGAAATCAGAATTAAACAAGCATGAATTTATGAAGAATGGACTGGACAGAATGGATGGATTTGGAAGAAAGGCACAGGGAAAAGCCCAAAGACTTTTATCCTCTGCTTTCCCAAATCTGTTTTGGTTCCCTCCTTTTAGGGAGACTCTGCCTCAATGAGCAGGACCTTCCTCATTCCTCTCATCAAGCACTGCTCACTGTGCAATTTCCCAGCCATCTCTCAYTACGTTTGCCATTCCTGCCTCTCCCGTTCCGATTACCTGGATCATGTATGGCTTGTTGCCCATTTTTCGAATCTCTGACATGTTCCTCATTTGCTGCTGGACCAGAGAAGCTTCAAATGCCACTAACATGGAGAGGGTGAAGACACTGTAATACCAGTATTCATCCAGGCACCACAAACCCACGCAGAACACCTGGTAAGGGGAACATGATGTGGAAGTCATTCTAACATCCATCTCACTCAGAAAACAAAAGCCCTCAATTCTCAGGATGCTTTCAGCTGGACTCGTATGCACTCAATTGAATCAAGCTGCGAAAACAGAAAACCACAATAACCTATTAGGGAGGAAACAGGGTTGTCCCAGCAACAGTCAGCTAAAACACCAAAAAGACACTAAAAAGCAACAACTACTCTTGCTATTAGAAAGCCATCAGCTGATTTTTGACTCAAAGCGGGTCCATAAGGAATTCTTATCGGGGAGAAGTATTTACAGCTCTTTYTGTTTATGTGTTTTACCTGAAAGACGAAGAAGGGGGCTGTGGCTCTTTCCTTGAAGAGCTCCAAGAACTCTGGCACCACCATCTCAGCCCTGGGAAAGAATTGAAGTCTTATTAAGCGTGGAGTTCGGTCTTCTCAGCAACAGCCCAGCCCCAAAACATCTCCAGCCTCCACTGCGACACCATATTTTATTCCAGAATATCTACATGCAATTGCTCTCCTCTTTTCGGATGCTGTAACAAGCAATTGCTTTCCAGCTAAGTCCGCTGTGGAGAAACAGCCCTGTCCCGGTCCCGTTCTTCATCCTTAGAAGACTCCAACACTTGGGAAGCAAGTGCTGGGAGGAAGTATTTAAAAAAACACAGCACGGATTGTCCTTCCACTCCAAGAGCTTTGTTAGTGACGCTTTGGATCTCTCCCTCTCCGGCAAACAGAGATCTGGGCCCGGAAAACTTACTTGTTTGTCCCGTACTTCTTCTCCGCCGCGCGGATATCTTTGTCCTCCTGATAGCCACGGGCGTTCTGGTAATAGGAAAGGGGATGCTCCACAGGGAAAGCCACGGGAAGGAACTGCTTCTTGCCATCCACTTCGTAGGAGTATTTGATTTTCTGAAATTCGAACGAAAGGGCCTCCTGTCCATCCTCTCCCTGCGGAAAAGGGGAAAAAAAGGCAATTAAACACACACCAAAGACTTCATTTCACACATAGTCTGACCCGAAGGGAGAATCTAGAGGAACCCACTAATCACTTCCACCTCTAGCCCTTTTRTCACTCGCTAACATGCGATAGGACACACTGCGATCTCTCACGTCCCCACCTRTGACCGCTCTAGRTGACCCTGTGTGCAGGGCTTTGCGCTCGACCATCTCTAAAGGTCCCTCCAACCTTAAGGATTTTATCCTGTGATTCTACGCCTGATTGTAGCCACGTTTCCCAAAAAACTACAGCTAAAAGCTAAGAAACTGCAGCCTGGCACAAAGCAGCGGGTCCCAGGCGTGCGCCAAGCGAGTGGCCGCCTCCTCACCTGGTCCCTGTGGAGAGGCACCAGCTCCACGGATCCGTTATTCGGCGTTGGCACCACCTTGGCCAGCGTGGCTTTCTTGGGACTAGGCTCCTGAAACACAAACGGCGTTTGCTGTGTGAAACCGGGACGCGGTTAGAGACGGGACGGAGCCCCGCGGACCCACCAAGGGGCAACGAAAGATTATTTTATCTGTAACTTATATGTTATTTATATGGTGTTTTTTCAGGGGTTTCTGCAGAGCCCCTGCAAGGGGCGAGGACGCTGCAACGGGCGCGGGAAGAGGGAAATGAGACCCCTGGAAAAGAAGGGGCGCTCGGGGGGGTATGAGGAGGCACGGGGGGCAGCAGCCGTTACCGAGCCGGTCCCCCCCCCGGTGTCCCCCCCACTCACCCGCACGCAGGTGAGCGCGCAGTGCGCGTGCACCGACCAGAGCCCCGAGAGCGCCGTGAGCAGGTGCGCGACGCCGATGGCGGCCAGCGCCAAGAGGGCGGCCTCGGGGGGCGCGCGGCCCGCGCCCGCCTCCCGCCACGCGGCCCACACGCGCGGCCCCCAGAGCCAGAGCCAGGCCGGGTAGAGGCCGGCCACGAAGGGCAGCACGGTGCCGTGCAGCAGGCGCGGCCGCCGCCGGTAGAGCGTCACCGCCGACACCAGCTCGTCCGCGCCGCCCGCAGCGCCGCCGGCC